ACACACATTTAGGTAGGTTATGGGTAGTTATCTGGGTTAGAGTACACATCTCTCGGTTTGTTTTTCTCATCTGAAGGGAAACATTAGAGCAATTCAGATGGAGGAGGAGAGGGACAAAGTGACTAATAAGGTGGATAGAGAAATAGAGATTGTATTTATGTGTGGAAATGTTAATGATAAAGCGAGTGAAAAAAAAGAAGCCCTTAATCAACTATCATTCTTTGCCTTCGGCTGTGTCTCTATTGTCCATAAAGCAAAAAAATCCCCAAAACGTCACTCACTGCCTGATTCTGTGAGGTTGGCAGAGCAACACAGGAAGCGAATATTAAGTGGTTCTTGGTGATTCATTTGTATTTTTTCTATGAGGGGTCTTGATGGGTTTGTCATCGTTTTCTACCCTGCTCTGCTCTCGTGTTTTGCTTCTCCTTTCATGTGCACAATAACTCCATCCAGATATTGCCCTCACCTCCCCTCTCTGAGGTTTTTTTTCTGTTTGCATATGGTTTTATGAAACCTTATTTCAAACCTAATTCCCCCTGTCCAACATCCATCTCCTCCTCTCACCACAATCCCCCCTGTTGTTGATGCCTTAGCCCTGAGGCTGAATGTAAAGATGATGTACTGGGAGTTTTTACTGTGTGGGTGGATTTCCCATCAGTCTTAACCAGTTGCCATTTGACCTTGCACCTTTCATACTCCTCTTTCTCTGCTGTTTTTTTTCCCTTCTTCTTCCTTAAGGCATTTTCAGTTTAGTCTGAACAAGCAAGAATTTCCACACTATTGGGAACCAGCAGAAAGAGAAAAGGAGATTTTGTATTATTTATTGTTTGGAATCAATAAACGGGTCTGTCCTATGGAGGCAGATTTTTTTCTTATGGAGGGCTTCGGAAAAATATAGCATATTTTTAATGTTTAATGGAGCTAAATTTGGTCGAAAATCTGTGAAATACTTCAATCTTTCAATTCAGAGATAGTATTTATGAATGGCACTTTCATTTTGTATACCAGGCGGGATTTTATGTATTTCACACATTTAACATATGCAGGTTATGATGCCTGAATTAAATTCTTGAATTAATGATCTGCAGTCACAGGTTAATTAAGTTTTACAGATTGCTTATGTTCATTTGATATGTTTTACCACACAACTGTGCTCTTTCTGGACAGTTTTCAGCTATTGCTGCTGTTGAGCACTAGAGGGCGGCAGAGCACCAAGAATATGTACAATCTTGTTGGCCCACAGAAGACCCACTGCTCATTATTTTTCCCTTTTTCCACAACATCATATACATAGAATAATTCACAGCACATGTACTGCAGTTTCTGCATTGTTCAATAGGAAATTTCGCAAAAACGTTCTGCGGCATTAAAACTGTGTGCATGTAAATGAATAATGTCGATAAAGCAGTTAGGGAAACAGTATGTTCATATCTTATCTTACCTGAAAAGGAGGTGACATTTTGTTGTCAGCTCACTCAAGTTCTCCCAGCAGCACCACTCAAAAACTATTTCAAGCAGAATCTCTTATAAGCACACAGTTAAATTCATCAGTGTACGTTCCTATGTGTTAGTTGTTCCGTAACCTCATATAGACCTATTCATCTCAAGCAATCCATATGCTGCCTCTTTTCATCACCTCTTTTTTTGTTGGTGTTTGGGGACATGCTGTTGTTGCTGAAGAGGTCAAAAAGGCCAATGAGATTGATGCTTTATATGGTCATGTTGCACCCTTGGGAGTTGCCCAGGGATCCACAGATTTAGGACAAGGAAGCTCAGCCCAGATAAGGGAGTGACCCAAACAACCCAATCTCAGGAGGGAAATCAGAGACGTACACAAGGAATTCAAAAAGACTGGCTTCCAGCCTGCTTGCTTTTTTTTCTTAAGTGTGACATTTATGTGAAATAAGATTTGAATTTGAAAATAAGATTCTAAAGGTTTTCTGAGGGCAACTTCTACTGATACTACATCAACTCTATGAAATAGGTTTGATAACGATGATAGCTTTTATTTTCATATTTATCTTTATCTATCAATTCATTTTATTATAGAGAAATATTCCCTGATAATCAGTGAATTACCAGAGAATAATCAAATGGTTTGTGATGCTTAAATTAGGCTTTGACAAAATGCTTTAAAATGATATGAAATTATCAATTAATACAAGTTTTTTTTCATTTTATAAAGAACTAATAATAACTAATACTGCTTCAACTAAATGAACGTAAACATCTTAATATAAAACTTTAATATAAAATCATTTGTTCCACAAATAAAGATGAGACTATCTCATGCAACTTATTTTCGGTGTGCTTAATCATCTGGTAGTAATTGTCTCCGGTAATTGTCTCTGGCCGTGTGTGTATGGCATTGTGCCTTGAAATTGGTGGAAATCTTCCAATAATCGTCCACTTGTGCAGTTCACCGGCCACCAGCCAACTGCTCCATTGTAGTAGTTGAGGAGATTTTTCTTAGCTTGCAAAACCCTGGTCTTTGAAATATTGGACACCTTGGCAGTGGCTTTTACTACGAGCTTGGCTACCAGAGGCTACTGTCTTCTTTTGGCAATCGGACTGTGAGTCGTAGAGTGAATGATTTTCAAGAAGATAGTTGAAGTGGCAGCTACTGACTACTTGTGCTTGCATTATTATGCAAGTTTTGTAAAATGTCTTCATAATTCTGTTGTTTCTCTATTAAATTATTACAAGTTCTTATCTTTGCATTTCACCCCTTGAGTATAGATTTATTTGTATTTTTTTAGGATAGCGCTGTACTTATTATCATGTGTCCTGTCTTCTCCATGCATCTCCACACACTTGCAAACATCTACCCAGCCCCCTGCTCCCCGCCTCCCCAATCCCTCTTCTTACCTCTCCACGCTCCTTATCCATCCATCCTGTTCCCCCTAAAGCCACCCCATTGGCCCTCGCCTAGCAACCGCATGATAATTTGGCATAATGTGACACCCTCTGATGCATGATGGGGGCTGTAAGTCAGCTTCATCCCCCTCCTCATACTGGTGGCTGGTGTTTGGGCTTGAAAAGAAAGAAAAATGGAGCAGGGACGATGAATATATTTGAGGAGGAGAAAAGGGAATTTCACGCTCATATCTTTACACGACTGGTGTCCACCGGCTAAACCTGTCATCTGTCCCTGGAGGGATGTTCTCCTTTTTTCTCTCCCAGCAGTGACCAATCATCTCTCCTCTCATTCTCAGCTTTACTCCATATGGTTCCCCTTTGGTCCAGTAAGAAGCGTGAACACACACACAGCAGATTCAGGCATGTGATGAGGCAGCCTCTTGGTGTCGACAGGACCCAGCAAAACCTCATAGGTGCCTCTGACTTTCATGCGAGCAGGCAGGGAAAGAAACACAAAGATGGCCGCCGCGCGTGCCGTCTGTCTCTGCCATGCTGCCACGTCCGACGTGAGCACGGCTGATGTGAAGCTGTGACCTCCTGAACAAGACATCCTGTTTTTTCACCTTATTATATTTCCCTCTGTCAGTCACAGAAAAACAAACAGGAGATTTTATTGTCTCCCTTCTTTTCTGTCTGGCCATCCTTTTTTTTCATCTTCTTCTCCTCCTCCTCTTCCTCTGCCTCTGTCTCTCTGTTTTCAACAAAGACTGATGAAGTATTTTGATGGAACAAAAGCTGCCATGTCCTGTTTGACCTCTCCATCATGATGTCAATGTTTTTTTTTTTAGCTGTTCAGTTTCTTCACAAGTTGACAAGTTTAAAGTTTGGCTTGCCATTTTATATTACTTATTAATTATGGAAGTTCCTTTTCTGGTATGAGCCTATGAATAAGTCAAGCACATTGTTGTTAAAAAAAAATCAATCTGGGAATACTAAATGCAAACGAAACATTCATAGCTTCCTCTTCCTTGTGTGTGTGTGTGTGTGTGTGCGTGCCTGCATGTACGCAATTGTGTGTGTGTGTGTGTGTGTGTGATATTTGTGCACTATTACAATCAGGATCCTCCACTACCCCCTCCTTCATCTGTGTCCTTTGCATGTTCTCCCCCATCATGTTACATGGCCACCTCTAGCTCTTGGTGTGTGTCCTTGTGTGTATGAATGTCCAATACTGAATAGCCGTTTCCTTTCCTTTGCTAACAGTTGCCTTTGCCTCATTCATGCACTCAGACAATCTCACAAACAGTTTATCTTTTTCTCGTGCACTGTCCTAACACACATTCATAAATGCTCACAAACAAACAACACACACACACACACACACACACACACACACACACACACACACACACACACACACCAGTCTGCATGGTAGAGCACCATGCAAGGTTCAGCAGCAGGGACCAGAGCAGAGAGAGAGAGAGAGAGAGAGAGAGAGAGAGAGAGAGAGAGAGAGAGAGAAACGTTTAAGAGGACAGACCGAAACAGAGTGTGGTTGCTGTAGTAACCATCACACCCTCCCTCCTTTCACCTCCATTCTCTCTCTCTCTCTCTCACTCGCTCTCTCTCTCTCTCTCTCTCGCTCTGTCTCTCACTCTCTCTCCTCCCTTCCACCTCTGTGCTGGTTATGCTCGTGTCTCCTTTCTCTTCCCATCCGGTTTGTCCTCACCTCTCCTGGACGCGCTCCTCTCACACTGCCAGCGGATGACACGCCAGGAGGAGAAGGAGGAGGAAGAGGAGACAAGGAGAAGCTGCTGTCTCTTCTCTCCTGTCTTTCCATTACTTTAAAAAAAAAAAGAAAAGAAAAAAGAAAAAAGAGAGAAAGAGAGGGATCCAAAACCTGAGCAGGGCAACAACCAAAAGAAAGGACACACAGGATTATACAAACGGTCCATAAAAGAAAAGACCCTACTCTTCTCCATTCTCCTTTTCAAGGAGGGCATTTTTCTTCCCTTTCCCCCCCTTTCCTTTTCTACCCCGATTTTTTCCTCTGAGATCCCGGTTTTGTCAATTAGAGCCCCTGAACTTCTCTGGGATTTCAGGTGAGGCACGCGTGTGTAGTGTGTGGTGCTTCTTCCATTTTTTTGTACTACCTATCATGGCTCACGCGGCCTCCCAATTGAAGAAGAATCGGGGGGAAGTGGATGTGAATGCATTAGAGGACGAGAAGGAGAAGCGGAGGAAGAGCAGGAGAGCAGCGTCCCGGGAACAAAAGAGAAAGGTAACAGACGAGGGCTCGGCTGGCTCGGCTGGTGGCTTCATCTGCTCTGCTCCGCTAGCATCATTGGAGCGTGACTCTGTGTGCGTGTGTGTGTGTGTGTGTGTGTCGCTATATCTCCCTTTGAGTTTGGAGGTTACCTGGTCACACACGTGTAAATTGATGTGCATGTTCACATCTTTGCACAAATCAAGAGCCACGTGGAGACAGCAGTCATTCTGTCCATTTGAAACAGCAGCTTTGACCTTGTGTGATGATTGAGTGTGCGTGTAATGGTGTTTCTTTGAGTCTTTGTATGTCAGTCTGTGTTTTATTCTCAATATGGTTGTGAGACTTTGTACAAGTGTACGTCCGAGGTAATATCACCTTTTTGTTACCTTTCTGCACGATGGTTGGACACATGGTGTGCTTTGTTTTGTTTTCCTGCCTCTTACTCATTCAGTGCTGCTAATATTTGCTGCCTGTAGTAGAAGTACGTCACATAGGGCTTCCTTAAATGTTTGCACCTCCCTCCATATGGTCAGTTGTGGTTACTCTCTGCAGGGTATGATCCCCAATGTCACTACTCTCCAAGCGTGAGATGAATGCTGTGTGTTAGTGTTTGCAGATTAAGGTTGTCAAAATGTCTGAACCCAAGCGTATAGTATTTGTGAGATTACAATGTGCAGGAGTTTGCTTGCATTTTCTGCTTATTACAACAAGTCAATTCTCAATACTGTATTGGCTGCCTCGGACTTTTAGTTGTTGCTGCTGTGGCTGTGGTATTGAAACAGTTATCCTGGTGTCTTAGAAACCTTAGTTTTGTGTTTTTTCAACATGTAAAATGTTATCAAACTAGACAGACTAATGCCAGGTTGCAACCCCCCTCCCCCCCCCCAAAAAAACCCCCAACCTCCTCCTGTGCTGTTTTACACTTCATCATGGCTTTATAAATGTGTGGGTGCTTCAATGTTTTTGTGGGTTCTGGCTTGTGTGTGCGTGTGTGTGTATGTGTGTGTGTGTCATTGTGTGTGCTTGGATGCTCAGACAGCCATGTATAATGCATACACGACTGATTTATTGATGGCAAAGCTTTTCATATGATGGAGGAGGACCTGAAATGCACGTGGGTCTTCCTTCTCTTCCTCCTCTATAACATGTCAGCGCTGTACTTTTGACGAAGCAGCGGAAGAAAAATGTGCACCATAAGGCAGAATTCAACAAGACTTGAGATGACTGAAACATGTTGTAAAAAAGTTCTTGTCCCCTGTAGTTTTGTATCAAAGTTACTTTTCACTCTGTCTGGACTGTTCTGGTGTTCTGCGTATCGAATGCAGAGAGATTTGACCGTGAGCGTTGTATTCAATAACAGTGACATTTACTGCACATTGTGCCCATGGGTGCCCGGTTTTGAATTATGCTGCTGGCAACGTTATTTGACCTGAGCATAAACAAGAGGTGAGCTATCATGGCCCTAATCTCTCCCAAACCAAGAAAAAAAGTTTCATAAAGGTCAAGTGAATATATGAATGTTTGAAATGTGTATAAGTGCCAAAAAGAGAGGAGTCATTTTTCCTTCCAGTGTGTGAATGTGTATGTGTGTGTGTGTGTATATTACATGTGTGTGTTGATCTGTGCAGGAGGTTTTATAGTCCTTACGAAGGGTCGTGTTTCATAGAAGAGAACAGGAGATGATGAGGAGAGGAGAGGCCTGTATTGATTGGACTGAGCGCAGCAGCATCCATGAGGATAATAAACTTTCTCTTCTCACCTCCGCCTGCCCTGTGTCCTTCCCTCCGTCCTCACCCCACTAATCTACTCTTCTCCCCCTCTCGTTTCTTTATCTGACTTTCTCTCTTTGTTTTCCTGTCTCTTTGTCTCCTCACATTTGGCTCCATCCGTGTCACTCTATGACTTTCTTTTTTTCTTTTCTTTTTTTTATCACAGTTTGGCCCCTTGCTTTGAATAATGTGCTGTCACTGAACAAAGTCAAACACCAAAGTTAATTTGTTTGTCAGTCGTTGTTTATTTGAGGGATATGAACTTTAGGCAATCACTGCCGGTCACTCTCTCTGTCTCCAACACACACATACAGACACACTGTTGTTATATGGCTCAACACACACTAATAAGTGCTCTTTTGGCTTTGGATTTATTCCTTGGCTGCCCTTGCTTGTGCGCTGTTTACCTCCGTTGGTGGTCTCCCAAATCTCACGTTATCTCAGAGTATATGACAGTGAACTGGGAGATATCTGAGCCGTGGACTCATGGGACAGAAAGTGACACATGCACAAATACTTTATAGAGAAAGAAGCACATAACAGACACATGAAACAACACAAAGAAGTATGATAAAACAACAAAGAAATGACATAAAATATGATGCACGGTGATAGTTATTCTCTCTCTTTGTTACTGACCGAGCTTTTGATTTAAAGCTCGATCGTGCGAACGTTACATTGTGAGATTTCCTCCATTATTCAGCGTCAAACCCTTTTTTAAAGTCTTGTTGCTGATCTGATATGCTCGTCCTGGTGCAAATTGTGCAACTGCTTTGAGTCACTGCTTTCACGGCTCTACAAACACTATATTTAGCTGGTCGAGCTGGTACCAAACTGTAATAGAGAACACTTGTAAAGACAGAGTAGCGTGTCTTTCCATTTGTACTCTTTTTGTATTAGTCACTAAGCAGGTGTATACTGTGTATATCATTAACTGCAGCATAATAGTTTGAGAGTCATGGTTTATTTTAGTTGTATATATTCTTAAAATACCCCGTAGTGATATGACTAAACTTGAAATACTCCTTCAGTTTGTGTGTAATACTGTGCGTCCATTGATCTGCTAAAAGGTGTGACAGCAATGCAGATCTGTTTCACTACTGAAACTCCTTCTTTTGGAACATTAATAACTCTGTGATTAACACGAACACTAAGTTCTTACTCTTCAGGTATTATTAATGTAAGAGCTGCATGTTGTGATTTGAATTGGGTCACAGGAAACAGTGTTTATAGGTCATCCAAACTGGCTTTTGTCCTGATCTGTTGTTTAATAAAATGATCAAGCAAGCTGTCCAGGGAACTAAACATGCAGGCCACTGAAGTCAGCATTCATGGTTTCATTTTTAAGTTGCTGTGCAGTAAGTCTAAGACAGTGAATTTTGGAGAAGATGATAAGAAGGACCAGGAGGAGGAGTAGGAGGAGAAAGAGAGCCACTTATTTAAACATGGCTTTCTGTGGAGCAAAGGCTGCTTCTTCTGTGCCGAGGTGTGTGTGTGGATGAGGATCCACAAGGGGTATGATGGCTTTACCGGAATAGAGTTCATCCAACTTTGCATAATGTCAAAAGCTGCTTTAACTATGTCTGTTAGTTCTAGTAAATGATTTTGATAAATGTCGATCTAGACTGACATAAAAGTTGCAGGAATTCTGATAACACTGTTCAGACTGAAGTGAAAATCAGACAGGTATCTGATAAAGGATCACATATGACAATGAAAGCAAAATAATTAAACCAATTTTGCCAAGTCTTCGGTTAGCGATCAGTAAGTTTAGATTTTGGACCTGTGTGTGTGCATGTGTGTGAGTGTGCATGTTCTCCCCCATCCTGTTACATGGCCACCTCTAGCTGTTGATGTGTGTGGACTCAATATGTTCTCATCTACTGTCTTAAATGGAACACTCTGGGGATTGATTTGGATTTGGGAGGAGAACGTATGGATTATGACTTCAATATTTACCTTTTCAAAATGTTTTGAAGAAACTGTACACTGCATGAGTTTTACTCTCAGAGTTTGGACTTACATATAAAGGGGTGGGTGTAGCAGCGTAACCTACAATAGGATGTGAAACACGAGGCCCATGATGATGTTAATATCATGATACTGTGATTCTGCGATAATTCATGAATTGGGAGACAATCATATTAGGACTCAATGCTATTCGGTGTCAGATTCACCTCTCATCACACTTTATCTGCTTACATCTTTCCCTCGCTGTCCGACGATATTACGCTGTCTTCTTCTTTTTCGTTTATCCTCCTCTCAACTTCTGCTGTATAACTTTCAGTCATGTCACGCTCATTTAGTGCCACCATGAGACATGAAGTGGTGAGGGGGTGAGTCAATTTGGAAGGAAATTCTGTATTTTGAGTAAAAATGTTAACTAAAAATGTTGATATTTGGCACAAGTGACTGGATATTCTCTTGTATCTCTCTCTGTTTTGTATTTAAAACAGCGGGGGATTAAGGTGAAAATGAAAATGCAAAAGGAGATCAACAGAATGCATGTGAGAGAGTTGAGAAATGTTCTGACATGAGGCCTGCTGAGTCCTAATGGAGCTCAGGGTGTCTGGGGAGGGCTCCCTGCTACAGAACGCTAACAACTTACAGTATATGTAAGCATGTTTGTGGTGTGTATCATCAGTAATGCAGCACAGAGAGAAAGTTACTCAAATTAGCACACTGGGAAAAGTGGGATGGAAGAAGAAGAATGAAGATAAAACACCACTTGTATCTGCCTGTTTCTATCTGAATGATGGCGAAATGTTCATGTTTCGTCAGAGAGTTTGTGAAAACTTAGCAGCCACAGTGGTCACCTCTGTGGGAAACCCCTGTGTCACATAATTTTCCATGCTGCTTTACCTCTAATGACGTTATCTAGAGCCAGGAGCCCTCAATGGATTCCCTGAGAGAGAGACAGACAGAGAGAGAGAGAGACAGGGAGAGAGACAGAGAGAGAGAGAGCACACTAAGAAAAGCATAGGCTTCCTGCTGCAGAGTCCCAGTTTTGCACACTGTTACAATGCACAGTTTGTGCGCTAGTACAGTACCTATTGTGTCTCCCCTAAGGGCTTATATAGGCCATGTGCAAGCTTTTTTTCAAAGGCTAATCCCACAGTTTTATCTGGTTCATGTTGCAAGGAAATTCTGTGCCTGTTAACCTGTTTTTTGTGTGTTGTTAAAGGTAAATATTGTGGCTTTTTTATTAGATGCAAGACAAAGTAAGCAAAATTTGATCCCCTT